GAAAACCAATGATAATTAAAGAAAAAATGTAATAAATTCCATGTGGCTTTAAAAAATTGCAAAACAAAATTAATTGAACTCATATTGGGATGGAGAAATGAGCTCTGTGAAATGCAATAAACATCTAGTTCAGTGTTTCCCAATTTCAACAACTTTAAGGTGGGTAGACCAACTCTCAGAATTTCACAGCCGCACCAGGGTTTTTTGTAGGTCCTTAAGCTAAGAATAGAATGCTGGGTGGGCAGCAGATCCTCAGGCCCAAGCCTCAGCTGAGCCTCAGTTATGCTCCTGGAGCAAGGAGTGGGGCAGAGGGATGGGGGCAGAGTGTTTGGAATGGCAGTGGCAACAGGCTATTAGTGGTGTCCTTGCTTGTGAACTGGCACCATCCTCCTTGGCTTGCAGACCTGCCAGTTATGCTTGCAGAGTAGGAAGGGAACTAGATTTGGCCCTTTAGACAAAAAGCTTGCCACCCTTGACCAAAGAGATTGTATTGACTCTGGCTTTACTAAATGAGATTTTGAAGTGTTGGTCTGTTCCAGCAATTTTCTAGGTTCAAAGGCAGTGAGAAATTCAGTTCTGCCTTCTCTCTCTTTCTTTTTTCTCTAGTAAACTCTGTACCTTGTTACAGATTCCTGTATTGTAAATTTGTACTATCTAAATAAGAATATAAGAGATGCTTTGGATCAGAGGATTTCCTCATCTGGACCAGGATTCTCCAGCTGGTTGGAAAACCATAAGTAAAACTTGTAGAGTGAGTGAGCTTTACAATTAGATGGATAAGCAAAATGTCATTTTCCCATTTGTGTTGTCCAGTAGCAAATGTGGAGATGCTTACTGCTTCTGAAAGTAGGGACTATATTCCAATCAGTAGTTAATTAATTATCACATGACATTCACCTGATTTTTATCAGGTTGATAGTACATTCCGAATAAAGAAAATTAAACTGAAAATTGTAAATTACAGAGATATGGATAGAGAATTTTTTTGGGGTGTGCATTTCATCTATATAGTATATTTTTTGATCATGTAGACATCTTAGGAGAAGCAACGTACGTCTTTAGCCAACAGAAGAATTATTTAGGGCTGCCAGGATTTCAGGAAAGTCTTATGTGGGCAATATGTTCATTTTTTTCATGCTCAGGCATGACATACTTTAAAGTTTATTCTAACAAAGCAAAGGTTAAATGCAGACAATACAAACAGAGCATTTACTTCATTACAACATTTGTGCTTTTACCTCAAGAATTTCCAGGTGTTGCATGATAAAGCCTGTCTGATTTGCTTTGTTTATTCACTTTAAAAAGGCAAATCCCTTCAGAGTAATGGTAAGGGGAAAAGAAAAACCTTCCAAGTCAGTTTCGGTGAAAAGAAAGATCATAGAGAGATTTCATTGTAATCCAGTCTTGTTAAGTCTAGATTTATTGTTGGTATTTTTTAACATGAAGGAATCATGGTTGCTACTAGCACCTTTTATTCTTTGGAGACTTTATTTGACAATTCAAACAATTTCCTATGTTTACTGTGAACTGCCAGAAGGAAATAGTATGTTTTACGGACAGGAACTCCAGAATCAGATACACTGTTGCTGAATGACTTCTTTGTGACTTTAATAACAAGGAAGCAAAAATAGGCAACCCAACCTCAAGTTTTATGACTTGTTTACATCTGCTGGACTATTATGCAGTAATGCCTTTCTTTCTTTCCCTTCTGCTCAATAAATTTATGTCTGGTAGTTTCTGACAAAGAATAGTTGAGGGGAATACAGGAGGAATCAAAAGGTGGAATTCCTTGCTGGAAAATAATGAAATGTATTTCTCCAGTCTACTTCACTAAAGGCTTGTATCTAGAGAGCTATATCCTTCCTCCCTTCCTTCCCCTGTAAGTTAACGGAATTAATATTCTAGCAGAGATGAAACAATTGTGCTTTAAGATGAATGAGTCTTTTTTGATCAGACAATACAATACAGATCAAAATATCCAGGATAGTTTTGCAACAGGTTGTCCCCTGATTAGTGCTGTATCCAACTGACTTTACTTGTTGCTTATGCTGTTCTTGGTTTCTGTACTTTTTTGGGGCTCCAACTTTCATTTCATAATCTCAGTGCCAACTATGCACGCTTATTTCTTTGAAATTTGGCATACTTCATCTTTCAGTAATAATCTAGCTTCTCTCTAAATTTTATCCAGTTCAGTGAGAAAGCGAGCAACCTCCCCCCCCCCAAAAAAAAAGTTATGGATACTTTAAAAAAAGAAACCCAAACAAATTTTAAATGTGTGTAGTAAGAAGAGCCCACATTCAGGGTTTTTTTTTTTTTTTGTCATTTAACTCTTGGGAAAAGATAAAGCTGCTTTAGGTAGTTGCATAGGGGCTCTGTGTTCACAACCTTGTATGCCTGGAATCACATTTTGGGAAATGAACTCAAAAGATTGCACAGCCCGACATCTTATATCTGCCTCTGCCTGACATTAAGAAGCAACTATTATTGTAAGCTGCTCAGAGTCACTGTATCAGTGAGATGGGTGGCATAACAAACAGACAATTGAAATTAGTACTTGATTGTGTCTAAAACAATTTTCTAGTAAGGTGCAAATTTAAATTTGTCTGTAGGTGTACAGGACTTGTTCATGTGGCTATGGTAACTTCTTCTCTTGGGGGAAAGTCAAAATACATGCATGGAAAAAGAAGCTGTCTGCCTTCTTGGCCTGGTTATTTGTAGTCCTAGAAGGAAAAGAGTTTATAATTAATAAACTTAATAAATTGAGGTTGGGAATAGAACTGAATGAGAAAGAAGTGGCATGGAGGGAAAAGGAAAAATATTCAGGCAGTGCCATATATTGTTTAATTTGATATTTGTGAGAGGCATTTCATAACATGGAATAGACCTGTTTTATATAGCTCTGTGTTTGCAGTATTAAGTACTTAATTTGAAATTATTTTAGTTTTGCCTTAATGCATTATACTGTTATATTCACACCTGTATTTAATTTGCCATTATGTAATAAATAATTTTAGATTTCTAAATGCTTATGCTTCTGTTTAAAAACATCTTTAATAAAACACACTAAATCAAGTTACTTGACGTGTTGTGAGTATTTGATTATGTTAGTGAAATGAAACTAATGCAATTAAATACAGTGGAATGTAGCTCTAGAGTGGTTATGAAAAAAAAGCTCTCTGAATCATGCTTTTGGAAAGTACCTTTTGACAAAATATCTGGCAGTCACAAACATTGGCACTGTTCCCATTTTCCATTCTTTCTCCTGAACTGAAGCCAGATTCCTTTGGGAAATCATCATTTGTAAATGATTGTGAAGAGAAAAAATGGCATTCTTGAGTGTATAGTTACTGCTAATTAGAAACTAAACATTAGCAATCATGTCAGAGTTAATTGTATTTGAAAAGAAACATTTACAAAAACCTGTTAAATATGAATAGAGATAATATAGCTTAAATATGGAAGCACTTTAAGATAAATTATATTGCACTGTTGTGGTAAAATGCTATTTATTTTAATTAATCCTTTTGCTAAGCTGCTCATTTTCTTTCCACGTGGTATGTGCTTCTATAAATAAGCCAATAAATGAATTGGAAGAATGCCTACATTAAAGCAAGTGCAACACTGTGTTAACATTGTGCCATGTACCTCATACTTTAGTCACTATTTTCTGATGTGCTATGTTGTAAGCAGATTTTTTTTCCTGCCGAAATCAATAATAGCATGTATCTCATACCAGTAAGGACCACATTTTCAGAAGTTGTGTAGTATTGAACCTATAAATCTGCTGATTTGAAAATATGCCCAAAATAATGAGGTTCTCTAAATGAAATATGGTCCAATAATTAAAATGAAGATTGCTCATACAGGTAGTCCTCAACTTACGATCACAATGTAGCTCAAAATTTATTTTGCTAAATGAGAAATCTGTTGTGTTTTGCCCCATTTTATGACCTTTCTTACCAAGTTTGTTAAATGAATCGCTTCAGTTGTTAAATTAGTAACACAGCTGATAAGTGAATCTGGCTTCCCTATTGATTTGCTTGTCAGAAGGTCACAAAAGGTGATCACATGATTCAGGGACATTGTAACCATCATAAATAGGAACCACTTGTCAAGCATCCAAATGTAAATCACGTGACCATAGGGATGCTGCAATAGCCATAATTGTGAAAAAGGGTCATAAGTCACTTTTTTTCAGTGCCATTGTAACTTCAAATGGTTACTAAACAAACGGTTGTAAGCTGAAGACTATCTGTATTATTATATAAATAAATTATTATATGGCAGAAAATAGGCTTTATATAGAATGATAATAGCAGAGTTATTTTTTGTTCTGTGCAGCCTGACAGCAGATACTGGCTACCGGGATTCTTGTTCTGTACCCATTTCACAGAAAACAAAATTCTTTTGGCTGTAAGGAAATCCTTAAAAATATCACTTAAAAGGGAGCTGTGTCTTTTCCTACCTCTAATTGGTGTCATCCGCCTAGCTGAACTTAGATCAGCTGCCATGCCTTTTTAGAACTTGTCTTTATTATGGTGTCTTCTATTTATTGCTAGGTAGGGTTTGTGATATAAACATTTTTCATAAGTTGACACCTTGAATGGGATTCGTTCTATATTAGTCAACAGTATATCTCTGTGGTGAAAAGCATAGGTTTCAGGTGAGTATAATTCACATAAGTAAAATACACAATTAAAATACAATTCAAGTAGTGCCACCTTGTGGCATGCTAAATGTATGCAAACTGAAATCAACAAAAAGCTCCAGTCTGTTCCAAAAAAAGCTATTGTTATGATCCTCATAAGGTTATTAAAAATGGTAAGTGCTATGTGTATAAACCATTTATGCATTTCACAAATCATTTTCAGATGAAATATATAATTTATGAGGATTGCATAAATATTTTCTTGAGTATTTCATTATAAATACTGTTCTTGAGATACCTTGTGTATGCATGAGATCTGAAAAATTCTGCCTTTCTGTCTCCTGACTTCTAGATGTGGTAACTCTCCTGTGTACCGTTCACGTGAACTGGCTGGAAGAGCCCTTGTTCCCTTCGTTATGCTAAATTTGGTGCCACAGACAGTATCTTCTTTGTTAGCCGGCCTTCCACATAGCACTGATCCTTATATACGGCAGAATGCAGTTCATGGAACGCTATTACAAGTGAGTTTTGCCTTTTTGCATAATGTAGCCTCAGTGAGGTAAACACTTATTCACAAAAAAGTAATATCCAAATTGATAAAAACTTGTAACAGACTTATGATTAACTTTTAAAAATCGGGGTGATTCCCGTAGTCAAGATATTAAAAATGGGATACAGACTTTATTTCAATAATTGACCTTGCAAAAAGTCCCAAAGATAATGCATGATCATTCTCAAATAAAAGAGGGAAGCACTTGATCATGAAGGTGGCTGTTGGACTAACTAGCTAACCCCATCTCCCCCCTGCACTTCCTGCTCCCCCTCCGCTCATCTTTTTAATTTCATATTGTTGTACTTCTACTGTTAATTTTCAGTGTTTTACTCCTTTGCTATTCTTATTTTTACATTTTTTATCAAAAAAATTAATATACATGAACAAATATGCATGAACTGTAACTTAATAAATGAATCTTCAGTTTTAAATGCAGGTATTTTGTATCAAAGTGACAATATAACTATAAGCTTACTTTTAAGAAAAATAACTACAGCATACACCAAAGATTTATGAGTCATTTCAGTTTGTACTTTTTCTAAGTCAAGGTTGAGGGAAATCTCAGCTTTCATTTTTACTGAACAAGTAATTCCTAGTACCCCAAACCAGCATGGCCAATTGTGTGGGATATTGGGATCTGTAGTTCAGCAACCTTTGGAAGGCCATTGCTAAGTGATTATTGCAGGCTAACTCTGCCCACATCCTGGAGTTCGATCTTGACCAGCTCAAGGTTGACTCAGCCTTCCATCCTTCCAAGGTTGGTAAAAGGAGGACCCAGATTGTTGGGGCCAATATGCTGATTCTGTAAACCACTTAGAAAGGGCTGTAAAGCACCATGAAGCATTATATAAGTTTAAGTGCTATTTCTATTTATCATGACATCACCCTGGACACTTTATATTGCCTTTTTCTGAATTTCCTGAAGATGTATATTCCAAATCTTTTCAGATATTCTGAAAATATTGCTTTGCTCTACATTGTAGAGTTGCATGAAGTATGATTGCAAAGTATATTATATAATTTGTAGATAGGATGGAATGCATATTAATGGTAGAGTTCTTACTTGGAATTGAGTTAAGCCTAGATTTTATTTGTATTATATGATTATTTAAATTTCTTCTTGGCTACATATGCTTATGCTCTCATTCTCCTGTCTTTTAAAATTTTGCTTTTTATTTTTTGGCAGTAGCTTAGGAAAGCAGCAGCATTTTATGCTGTGTCTCTGTTCATATGGATTATTTTTCCCACGATAATAAGGAATGGTTCTCATAGGAAACTTAATGTGTGAGGGCATGGAATAAAATAGAGGAGTTCAATTTTAATGTGTAAAGTTACTATTACAGCTTAGTTTGGGGTCCAGTATGGGGGACCAAGAGCTACACTTGGACATTGAAGGGGCAAATTCTAAAAAATGGGTCAGAACAGGATCATAACTGCTTTTGAAAAAATAACCAACTAAAAGTATGGAAAAATCAAATATAATGATTAATTTCCTTCTCTGTCCTGTTGGTAGGAAATTGTCTTACAGGCAAAACAATTTTTAAAAATGACATGCAAAAATAGCCAATCATATATGAAGATTGCTTGGTGTCTTAGGGTATCTGGCTGTATCCTCTGTGGACATTTCACCCCTCCCCATAATAACATGCATTTTGAGTAATAAGTTGTGTAGTAGAATTTTCAGTTAACTCCCTTGGCCTTTTGAAATAAGAATATTGCTAATCATGTATTTTTGGTATTTGACTTGGCAAAAGTATTTGACTTGTAGTTTTTCATAGGTGATTTATAAAGGCTGTTATTATGAATGAATGTTATAATATGTAGAGATCAAAGCAGAAAAACTACTATCATTAAATATTTTTCATTGCCCCTTCCTTGCAGTTGCTCTTCTTTATAGTTCAGTTTTATTGACCAAGATAAGCTTTCCTTTGAAGCTGAAAAAAAAAGTTCTAATGTCAAGTGGAGAGGAAAACATAAAAATTATGGCTATGTACCTTTTTATTGTTTTTGTTGTTAAATTTTTACATGGAGTCTTGTATCAACAGGTAGGTAAACTTTATTATGTTGTCAGGTATTCTAAGTCTTTAATATTTAAGCAGCTACTGCACAAAAGTATCACTGAATCATCCATTTAATGAGTAAATCAAACTGGAATATGCATGTATTGAGGACGGTTTATAAATGATGTCGTGATTATGTCCTAGGATGTTTTTCATCCCATGTGTCTCTGCTGTTTGTTTTGTAGGTGTGCTACAATAAAGCTAGGGAATTGATATTTTGTGCATTTTATAAAGATGGCCAGGTATTGTGTGTAACACAGAGGGCTGCTATTAGCAACCTAACATGTGGGTATATGCTTTGCATAGTGGCAGAATATCACTATCAGCAGACCAGCAAGGATGGTATCCCACATGGACTTGTGCATATGGGAAGGGAGTAAGGGCTACTGTGCAGCTAAATTACTTTTCTTTCCCAAATAGAAATGCTCAGTGTTCAACTTGGTTTTAGAAAATTATGAAGAACAAGAGACATTTAATAATAACATTTTTAAAGGAATCTTGGCTTTAGTTTTTTTTTCAAGTTTGAAAGCCTTGGAAGCTTCCCCCCTCCCCCCCGTTTCTGCTTTGCATTAGATGCGTGCAATTTATGTGCCACTTATCAAATGGGAAATGAGGTCACCTGCAATGAGATTACTTGATTTTCAGGTAGTTCTGGAAATGTAATAAAAATGCTGTGGAAATTTTAAAACAAATACTGTTTTAAATACTGTTATGTACTAAAGTTAGCCTTAATATTTATTTCACTGTGTTAGCACAATACTCGTTAAGGCTGGTTTTGATTATGTAGTTAGCCTTCAGTTTGCCCTTAGATTTACCTTGGCTTAGGCGTTTGCAGTTTAAATGCCACTGTGAAAATGACTGGAAAACATTAACATTAATATGTTATTACAAGCTGACATGCTTAGCCTGATGGGAAATAAAATTTATAAATAGACTCGTTCATATCCATATGGTAAAAATCTGATGAGTTATAGTAAATGTTATTATGTGGCTCATTTGTTTCCCAGAGTTTGAGTTTCATTAGAGGCTTTCTTTCTAGTAAGTTTATAATTTGAAAAGAAATGCATTAATAAATAACAGCAGAAGAACTTGCATTAACTAATTATTTGTTCAGACTGTAAACTTTGATACAAGGATTATTCCCAGATGGACCATCAATAAAATCTGGTAAGATTGTTCATGCTGTTCCTAGGAGTGAGAAACAAGAGAATTATCAATTTAGTAAGCATCAGATATAACAGTGCTTACAAACAAAAGTCTGCCATATTAGACAAATGTGTTGACTCTCATCACTCTCCTTTAGCCAGTTCAGGGAGCTATTCCATTTATTTATATAAATGATTTTTGTTTTCATCAAATACTACATTTGATCAGATCCTGAGCACGAGCCAAATGCAACTATTGGGATTTCTTTAGAAAAATACCATATTATGTGGTACTATCAGCCTGCCTGAATTCAGGATAAAACAAAGTTTTTTTGTTTTCGTTTCACCTTTACTAGTGCAACTTACTGTGTATGTGGTATTCATTTCAGTTGCTGAAGCATGTAGAATCCTTCAGGGTGTCAAATTTTCTCTGTCAAAAATGTTTAATATAGAGTGATCTCGGTTCATTCATATAATTTTTTTCAACAATCACTGAACTGAACAGAATTCCTTCAATCTTTAAGTTAGAAATTTGAATATTTATTTATATTTGACTCTAGTATACAAGCTAATGATATGCAAGCAGAGATTTTACAAGTATAGTGGAACAGTATGTAATTTTTGTCTAATTAATAGAAAGTCAGTTTTTATATAAATTTCATCTGAAGTGTTAGTTGCTGCTTGGAATAGGAGGGCAGAGAAAGCTTTGGATCAGATTTTTGCCCGTTCAAATTCTCCCCTCTGATGGATCCCATCATTCCCTCTGGTTCATAGAGAAACGGAGGGAGATGAAAAGAGAGAAGAGACATCTAGACTAATAGTTCTCAACCTTTTCTTTACCACAAACCTCCTTTAACTACCTTTTATGGCCACGGATCACAAACCCCCAAGACTTAACTCAAGATTTAAATCATAATGTTTCTTCAAGCCTTCGCAGGTCACCTGTGACAATATCATAGCCCCCTCCAAGAGTCCATGGACCACAGGTTGAGAATCACTGATCTAGGCCATTGCTGGCACTCAACAAAGGCTGAAAATGGAATGTAATAGCTCAATTCAATATGGGTTAGACCCACTACAGGTAGACCTTGACATATGACCACAATTGTGCCCAACATTGTTGCTAAATGAGACAGTTGTTAAGTGAATTTCGCTTCATTTTACGACCTTTCTTGCCACATTTAATCAGAATAGAGCTGGAAAGGACCTTGGAGGTCTTCTAGTCCAGCCCCCTGCTCAAGCAGGAATCCCTATATCATTTCAGACAAGTGACTGCCCAGTCTCTTCTTAAAAACCTGAAGCACCCACAATGTCCGAAAGCAAGCTTTTCCACTGGTTAATTGTCCTCACTGCTAGGAATTTTCTCCTTAATTACAGGTTTGCTTCTCTTCTTCATTAGTGTCCATCTGTTATTTATTGTCTTACCTTCTGGTGCTTTGGAAAATAAATTGACCCCGTCTTCCTTGTGGCAGCCTCTCAAATACTGGAATACTGCTATCATGTCCCCTCCTAGTCCTTCTTTTCTCTAGACTGGCCATTCCCAAATCCTGCAACTATTCTTCAGATATTTGAGTATCCAGACCTTTGCAACATCTTTTTTGTAATATGGTGACCAAAACTGGATGCAGTATTCCAGATGTGGCCTTACTAAGGCTTTATAAAGCAGTACTAATACTTCATGTGATTTTGATTCTATGCCTCTGTTTATACAACCAAGGATTGTATTAGCTTTTTTGGCTGCTGCTGCACACTGCTGACTCACGTTTAAATGATCGTCCACTAGTACTCCAAGGTCCGTCTCACAGTTACTGTTTTTGTTAAGTGAATTACTGCACTTGTTAGTAACCTAGTTGCTAAATGAATCTGGCTTCTCCATTGACTTTGCTTGTCAGAAGGTCGCAAAATGTGATCACATGACCCCAGGACATTGCAGCCGTCATAAATCTGAGTTAGTTACCAAATGTCTGATCAAAATAAGAATTTTGATCATGTGACCATGGGAATGCTACAGCAATCGTAAGTGTGAAAAATAATCATAAATCACTTTTCTTATTGGTGTTGTAACTTTGAACAGACACTAAATGAACTGTTGTAAGTGGAGGATTATTGTATTAATCCTTCCTTAGGGTGATAAGGGCAGTAAAGCATCAATAGTTTTAAAAAGTACAAATTTTATTTCATTCGCTTCTTAGACTTGGCTTTGTGCTTATATTCCAACACATTTTTGTTAGTTATCTCTCATGCATGTTTTGAAATAATTTGTTATGGATTTTAAAAAAGCAAAAAGATACTTCTTCCACATGTACATATAGAAAATCTTATTTAGTAAATGTAAAATCAGTGTAACTCTTTTTGGATTTAAATGTCTATGTGCATTTATTTACTTTAAAAATGTTATATGGCCACCCAACTCTACAGTAATGCTGGGCACATGCAATAAAAAGAGTTATAACTAAAGCAAAAAAAATACCAAATGCTTTAAGACAGGGCTTTTCAACCAGTGGTACGGGTACCACCTGTGGTACATTGGCACCTGGCAGGTGGTACGTGAACATCCTAGAAAAGTGGTAGCGGGGGAGGGGAATGAGCTGAACCAGTGGCAGCACCGCACAAGCCTGAGCGAGAGATAGCTGGAGCTGCAGGGCTGTCAGGGCTCAGCGGAAGCACTAGGATCAGCGCTAGGTTCCAGCTGGAGCTCAGTGCTGATCCTGGCGCTTCTGCTGAGCCCAGAAGAAGTGCCAATCAGCTGGAATGTTGCAGCATCTCCAGGGTCTTGGTTTACATTTAGATGCTTGGCAACTGTTTCATATTTATGACGGTCACAGTGTCCCAGGGTCATGTGAAGTGACCAAAACCTGCTGCAACCATCCAGCAGACAGGGGGAATAAAAACCAAACACCCCCCATCCCATCACCACTGCCAATCCTCAACAGAAATGCTCATAACAATGAAAACCTCAGACAGGAGGAAGAGCGCCACCGGGTGGGCAGGCAGGTGTCTTGCTCAGCTGTGGCTTGGGGGGCACTTTTTTTCAGTGCTATTGTAACTTAGAACAGTCACTAAGCGAACTGTTGTAAGTCGAGGAGTACCTGTACTTTATCACTTTTTTCCTTTTTTTTTTTTTGGTCATCAAGTTTTTGACACCTTGCTAGGCAACTGGTGGTACTCAGATGTTGCCATATCCTAAAAGTGGTACAGTGGGTGAAAAGGTTGAAAAACCCTGCTCTAAGAAAAACAACCATTAAGATAGTCACACATGTCTAGCCACCCACTTGAACCCAAGAGCAAAGTTTTCAGAGCTCTTTTGAACACAGCCAAGGTGGGGGCCAGATGCACCTGGGGCGGTCCGGGATGTTTCAGAGGGGAGGTGCTGCTACAAAAAAGGCTCACTTTCTGGCTTTTCTCAGATGCTACTGCTTAAAGGGTAAGAAGTCAGCTTTTAGCAGAACCATCTTCAGTTTGCCATTTCTTCCCTGGAAGTCCCAGAAAAGAGGTTGTTGTTATTGAAAACTCCATTTGTGGGAATGTTTCCTTGTATTTAGCCATTTGAATTTTTTAACCTTTCATGAGAAACTACAAATCCAAGTTTTAAAGTGACTTTTTCTGTTTTTTTCAGAAGATGATGATGCCATCTAGATAGTGTAACAATGATAACACCGTTGTTTTAAAAATCAAATCATAGCTTACTATAATTCAGAAAAATGTATTTGCTCTTTTTCCAAGTATACTGAGCAAACTTGATTCTTATTTACAAATCCAATAAGTTGGTATTTCATCTAAACATTGTTTTAAAGTGTCTAGAAAACATTGCTCTTGAAAACAGTTGCATTATAAAGAAAGTTTATGAGGTTTTTAATTTTGCGTGAACTCTTATGTTTCATAACTTTGAAAGGAACTTTGAATCTTGCAGAATCACATACTTGTGATGGGTAGCCATATACTGTAAACTAAATAAATAAAAAATAAAAGTAAATAAATAAGTTTGAAACAGTGCGACCATGGAGGAGATAGACGTTAACAATAAAAACTATACTTTTAAGCCCTTATCTTTGATGTGATTTCTGCAATTCTCTCTCTAACCAGTATATGGTATTATAAATCAAATTACCAAAATCAAATATATGTTTATGCTTTCTTCAAAAATCTGCAGATGGGAGCAGATAATTTCTATTTTTACACTGTGCTCACGTTCTTTGAAAATTATTAATATTGCTGACTTTTAATATAGAAAGGACAACTAATTTGTTCTTCCTTTTTTCTTTTATACTGAGATGTTATATTCCTTTAAGCACATTTGCAGATTTACCATATACTGTACATAGAGAGGGTGGTCCCCCCAAAAAAAAAAAGGATGTCCCAAATGCGTAATTGAATGCACCTGTATTTTTTATTTAGTTATACACATTCATGCCAAGTATGAGATTCAAGGGACGGTCATAGAAGAGATCAGTGTTTGTATACAACTCTTATTATTTCCATATTCCATAGTAATTAAAAATATTACACTGCACATACCAAATAATGTTATAAAAATGTTCCTAAGATTGCTTATTTACACAAACTATACATGCATGCTGCCTCTCTGATAAGCACTGATACAGGGTTTTCTTCCTTTTCTGATGCAAATTACCTTGTTGTAGATATGCTATAATGCTACCATTATAATTCCTGTAAGGAAAAGTGACATGGTGAAAAATAGTTCATTTAGTGAAGATAGACTACTATAGGATACAGCAATGTACAGATCATGGTTCAGTGATGAAGGAACTATCTTTACATTTGATCAGTGTCAACTTGTTTCTGTAGATGTTTGGAAGGTTATTCTCCAAGTGGCTAAGTTTTTCTCACTAAAGAATTATTTTTTTAGCAAAATCCAAATTCAGGGGAGGAGATATTTGAAAAATATTACAACAGTCTGCAACTTTTTTCTTTTTTCTTTTAAATATAGGTCCTTCACTTGCTACAATCTTATTTGGAATCTAAACAGAGGGCTAATTCAGATTTTCATCATGGTTTGAGCAACATTATCACTAATGTATGTGGCAAGCTATGGTTGGCAAACAGGTAAGACAAAAATGGAATAAATTTATTTATAGTCACAACAATAAAAATAAAAGCAAATATGAAATGCACAGTAAGACAAATAGTAATAAAATGAGGGTACCACATAATTGCTAATAACTAGGCAACGTGTTCACTCATGCCCTGGTCATCTCCTGTTTGGACTTTGCAATGAGCTCTCTGTGGGGCTACCCTTGAGAAGTATTGGGAAGCTTCAGCTGGTATAGAATGTGGTCACGTAAGAAATCTTGGGTATCCAAGGAATGATGCATGTAATACCTCTGTTACATGAGCTTCATTGGGTGCCTGTTTGCTTCCAGGCACCGTTCAAGGTGTTGGTTATGACCTTTAAAGCCCTGCATGGTATGGAGTTACCAGATTACCTGTGGAACCAGTTTCACCCCATAACATCAGCCCGTCCCACCCAGTTAGGTAGGGAGGGTATGTTGCAGAACCCATCAGTTAAATTCCAACCAGGAAGAGAGCCTTCTTTGCTGTTGCTCTTGTTGGAATATTCTCCCTCCTAGAGGGGAGGCAGGCCCCTGCCATTTTGACTTTTGGAAATGTCTTGGTTCTGCCATCTTACTAGGGACTCACAGATGAGTATAGCATGGTGGCCTTACCCTGCCTTTTAATTAACTTTGAATGTTGGATTGGAACGATCTTTGCCTCTTATTTAAATTTTATATACAGTTTTTATGTTTTAATATTTTAGTTGTACACTGCCCAGAGTCCTTCTATGAGGCAAATAAGTGGGTTCTAAATTTGATTAATAAAATAACAACAACAACAACAACCAAACCTTCTTAGTGGTTGCCTGTACTGGATATTATACCAGGAAGCCTGTAGTCTTTTGGTAAGACAACTAAAATTTCTGATAAATGAGTAATTCTATATTGCCAATTATGTGGAATTACACTGGGGTTGAGATTTGGCTTTTATTTTAATAAGAGGCAAACCATCACTTAGAATATAAATCTGTGATGCTTTAGCTCAACACAGTGAATTAGAACAGTTCATTTCAATCTTTTTCAAATCTGGCACCTATTTTTAGTCCACGTATATTTTTCTCTGGAAAGAGCTTTTTTTTTAAAAAAAAAAAAAAAAAAAAAAGAAAATGTGTATTTTTATCAATAACAGAGACCACTTTCTCTGAGGAATAAAACTTGCAGTAATACCAGCTGTGTAGACAAAATATATATGTCTTTAATCCCAAGGTATTTGAAGCCTAAATCCTTCCAAGAGAAAATTTGCTTCATAAATTTAAAATCAGTATATAAACATTAGTCAGACTCTATATATTTCCAAGAACTAAATCAACATTTCCTTACATACTTAAGACAATAAGAAATGAACAACAGCTGATAGCTAGTTTTTCAAAAAAACATTACAAAAATATATAGTACTTACAATCAATTTTTCATAAATAATTAAAATTTATTTGTAAACTAGTCCTATCACATTTCATTAAAAGTAAGAAATTCAAAGTAATATTCAAATATATATAAATATAGGACATCAGATTGAGGCAGTGGGGTTGTATAAATGATATAGGCCAATAAGGTTTTCATCAGTATGAAAATGTCATCACTTTAACAGGGGAGAAGATTTAATAACAATGTATCCTATATTTGGAGTGATTTTGTGTTTGCTTTGAATCCATTGTTGAGCCAGTTGCCCACATTTTACTCCATTGCTGTCTTTATAATAACTAATATATAACGGATGGAAACTAATCAAGGAGAGAAGCAACCTAGAACTAAGGAGAAACTTCCTGACAGTTAGAACAATTAACCAGTGGAACAACCTGCCTCCAGAAGCGGTGAATGCTCCAACGCTGGAAGTTTTTAAGAAGAGACTGGACAGCCATTTGTCTGAAATGGTATAGGGTTTCCTGCCTGAGCAGGGAATTGGACTACTAGATGACTTCCAAGGTCTCTTCCAACTTTATTACTATTATTATTGATCATCGCACAGTCAGCCAGATGTTCAGACTGCATTTGGCATTTTGTCTACCTATTGAGTCCTTACCCAGGACCTGGGATAGGCAGATGTGGATGTTTGATGGTATTACAGGTATCGTCGCAGGATGGAAGCAGTTCCTAGTAAGGCTGCCTTTTGCAATTGACTAATAGCGAATTTGTCAATGCCAAGGGTGTTCAAGTGGTGCTCCAGTTGTTTTGGGATTGCACCCAAGGGGCCTATTACTATTGGTACTACCCTTGCTTGCTTTTGCCACAGTCTTTCTATTTCTATTTGTAGGTCTTTGTATTTTGTTATCTTCTCCAGTTCTTTCTCGTCTATTCTGCTGTCTCCAGGCACTGCCACGTCCACTATCCAGACTTTTTTGTCTTTCTTATCGATAATTGTTAAGTCTGGGGTGTTATGTTGCAGGTGCTTGTCTGTTTGAATTCTGAAGTCCCAGAGCAGTTTAATTTTATCATTTTCTATGACTTTCTCTATTTTATGATCCCACCAGTTTTTGCTTACAGGCAAATGATATTTTTTGCAGATCTTCCAATGCACCATTGTTGCTACTTTGTCATGCCGCTGCTTGTAATCAGTCTGTGCAATCTTCTTGCAACAGCTTACCAAGTGGTCCACTGTTTCTTCAGCTTCTTTGCATAGGCGGCACTTACTGTCTGTTGCTGTCTTCTCAATTTTGACTTTGTATGCATTTGTCCTTAAGGCTTGGTCTTGTGCAGCCAGAATTAGTCCCTCGGTCTCTTTCTTCAATTTTCCTGCTCTTAGCCATTGCCAGGTCTTGTTATTATCTGCTTTCCCAGCTATTTTTTTAATGTATTGGCCATGTAGTGCTTTGTCTTCCCATGCCTCTATTCTGTTCTTCATTTGGTCTTTCTTGTAGGCCAGTTTGGTCTCTCCAGTAGTCAGTAAGCCTTCCTGATATACTAATTTCAGTGCATCTTCATCACTGTTCTTCAGATATTCTTCCAAAGCCATTTTTTCTTCTTCAACCATCTGATGTACTTGTAGCATTCCACGCCCACCTATTTGCCTTGGTAGATAAAGTCTGTCAATGTCACTGCGTGGATGAAGGGCATGATTCATTGTCATTATTTTTCTGGTCTTCCTATCCATTGCTTTTAGTTCTGCTTGAGTCCAGTCCACTATTCCAGCTGTGTACCTAATGACTGGAATTGCCCAGGTGTTGATTGCCTTTATGGTATTTCCTCCATTGAGTTTGGACTTTAAGATCTTCTTCACTCTCTTGATGTATTCACCTCTAATCTTTTTCTTGACTTCAGTGTGCTTGATGTTGTCAGCTTGAAGGATACCCAAGTATTTGTAGTAATCTTCCTCATCCAGACTCTTAATGTTATTTTCGTGGGGCATCTTGATTCCTTCAGTTTTCACTATTTTTCCTTGTTTGATAGTAAGTGTGGCACATTTGTCCAAGCCAAACTCCATTACAATATCTTGGCTATATATACGGACAGTGTTGAGCAGCGATTCTATTTCAGATGATGTTTTTCCATACAGCTTCAGATCATCCATATAAAGGAGGTGGGATAGTCTGGCAGATGTTTTTGATGTTTGATAGCCATGTCCTGAGTTATTCAGTATTGTTGACAGAGGAAACAGTGCAATAACAAATAGTAATGGTGATAATGAATCTCCTTGAAATATTCCTCTCTTGATATTAACCTCTCCCAGTCTCTCACCATTGATCTGCAACTGTGTCTTCCATTGTGCCATCGATCTTTGCACAAATTTTCTGATGTTTCTACTGACTCCTGTTATTTCTAGGCACTTGATTATCCAATCATGTGGCAGAGAGTCAAATGCCTTTTTGTAGTCAATCCATGCCACATTCAGGTTGGTCTTCCTTCTCTTGCAGTTTTCCAAGATCATTTTGTCTATTAGGAGTTGATCTTTTGTTCCTCTGCTATTGGGGCGGTTTCCTTTCTGCTCAGGTGGAAAGAGATTGTTTTCAACTAGATGCTGTTGTACTGCATCAGCTACCACACCAGTTAGTAATTTGAAAGTTGTTGGTAAGCAGGTAATTGGCCTGTAGTTGCCTGGCGTTGCCCCTTTTGCTGGATTTTTCATTATTAGGTAGGTTTTCCCAGTTGTTAGCCACTTTTCAATTTCTCCTCCTTGTAGTATATTATTGAACTGCTTGGCAATGAGTGGGTGTATAACAGTTAGCTGTTTCAACCAAAACCCATGCAGTTCATCTTCACCTGGTGCTGACCAATTTTTGATTTTTCTCTACTACTACTACTACTACTACTATTATTATTATTATTATTATTATTATTATTATTATTATTATTATTATTATTATTATTATTATTATTATTATTATTTACTTCTTACTGATGCACTGGATGGCCAGAAATTTAAATTCTTCATTTTTATTCAGGTTGTCTTCATTCTGCTCCATTCCTCTTGTCATTAGAAATTTTGGACTTTAAAGATCAAAAGGATAATTCAACTGTACTAGAGCAATTTATCCAGTCTCCTTTTGTTATATTGTTTAATTTACTTGCATTATATGGATTATTACTCTCTTTTGATTTTTGGGGCTGGCAGTGGTTGTCTTCGATTATAAATATGAAGTAAGGAAAGATAGTCCTTCACTTCCAACCACAATTGAGCCAAAATTTCTGTTGCTCAGCAAGACTGCTGTTAAGTGAGGTTTGTCCCATTTTATGATTTTTCTTCCTACAGATGTTAAGAGAATCACTGCATTAGTAATTCATTTGTTAGGTGAATCTGACTTCCCCATTGACTTGGTTCAGTGTAGCCCAGGGGTCTTCAAACTTGGCCCTTTTATGACTTGTGGACTTCAACTCCCAGAATTCCTCACCCAGTGTCATAAAAGGGCCAAGTTTGAAGACCCCTGATATAGCCATACTGAACTAAATACTTGATAACTTCAAATTATTCACACAGCTCCACAAGGATACCAAAACTGGATCTTCTGAACACAACTGTGATCTAGTCCTGACATATATGTATGTCTGGTACTTCACTCCATTTACGTGGTAACCTTATATGGTAATGATAAATAAGAACAACAAAGGAATGTTACAGGACAGTTGTTGGAGAGCACTGTGCTTTAAGCAGAGATTTTTGTTTATCTTAGGTGTTTAGATATACGTTTCCTAATTTTGTAATAAAAATAAAACGAGAAACATAGTAGCATATTAATAATAATCCTTGCCAACTCACATATACTTGTTTCTGATTAAGGATTGAGGCCAGACAGGACAGAACAAAGCAAGAAGAAGAAAAATAAAATGTTAAAGTGTAAGTCATTTAAATTTTGCTATTGACTTTGTTTCTAGGCAAAATCCTTGTCTGGTGACTAGAGCAGCATATCTTGATGTCCTTGTTCTGTTGAATAATTATCTGGGGAAGGCAAAAATTAAAGGTAAGCATGAGCTAATGCATCACTTTCCTGCCAGTAAAAAGAATGTGAAGAAAGGCAGAGTCTTCTAGAGTTTAATAGAGATAAAGCATTCCAAGGCTCAAATTATTGTAAAAATGGGAATGAAGAGATAAATATGCTCAAGTGGCTGTATTAGAAAAGTATCCACATTTTGCATATAATTACTCATTTCACTTACTTAAAGGGTCTTATTTTTTCCTTTATTCTTTATATAGATGGTCCAAATAACAGACCATCTATCAGCCAAAACATGCTATGATAATAAGGAAAATTCAGCAACCGTTGATGGGACTGAGACTTCCTTGCACTTTGTATATAGCTTCTATTGGTCTGGTTTCCAATGGCATTTCTTTTGCATATGATTTGGCTCTTAATGACTTGATTCCTTATTATTTTTTCAAAAGCATCTTTTGACAGTATTTTTGGCTTTGTCATCTCTGTGTATGTGATTAGTTCATTTTTAAGCTATATTCCACAGCTGTCAGTTTTAGCTTCATTTCATAGTCCATAAATAACTATATAGATAACTTCATAAATAACTGGGATACTAGGTATATCCCACTGTTTTCTTCTTTTTACTCTTCCATATTGGACCCCTGTTATTTTAAAAAAATATATTTTATTAATTTTTTACAATAATAGTGCTTAGTGAACAATGTGTTGTCTGGGTTCATATATTTAAAAACAATAATAATTATTTTCTATAATTGATCAATATGTTAGTTGATAATATATTTCATTGATCCTCTCTTCTTTCAGTAATATTCTCCTTTTGTCTACATTAAACAAATATAATTCTTAATATTTTCAATACATACAGAGTTGGGTATAAACATTTTTTTAGTATTTGTACATATAACAATAACATAAACATATAACATCTTTTCTAATCAGCTTATATTTCAATTGTATTTATAGAAGTCATTAAGTTATTATATGTCCTGTTTTCAAAATTTTTATTTAAGCTTAATTTCCCCTCAGTATTGAAACCACTCTTATCAGTCATAATTTTCTCAAAATTCATTACCTTTGAACATCCAAACTTTTCATTCAAATACACCATCTCAATATTTTTACATTTCATATATTATAAAAGTATTATGCTACTTATATATCTTATCCCTCTTACGGTAGGACTCCTTTATGTCCAAGCTTTATCTATTCTTTTAACCATGTTCAAACAAGTATTTAATCATATAGTACAACATATAGCAATCTTATTATAGGGCCTCTTTATATCCAAACCTTATACTTTTTAACCTTATTCAAACAAGTGTTTAGTCATATAGTATTCCAGCTGGTAAGTTGAATCATATCTCTTAAATCTAATTCTAATCTTCTTCTTTTGCCAGACCGCTTTCCAAATCAATAGGTTTAGCTTGCCAGGTTATATTTTTGTAGATATTGTTGGGGATAAAAAAAACAAATCAAGTAGAATATTCATTTTTTGTCTCCCACGCTTTAATGATTCTCCTGACAGCTCTTTAATCTTTTTTATTAAATCTTCTTTTTTGTCCTCAAGTTTGTTTTGAAGTCCTGGAAGATAAAACATCTTTTTTATTTCTTTTGTTGTAGCAAAATTTTGCAGATTTTCTTTTGTTTGTATTAAGTTGTAGTTCTCTTCATTTCTGGCTTCCATATTTAAGTCATTTTCCTCTGATTTGTATTCTGTTGCCTGATTTATTAGTTCATTCTTTATCATCATTTTTTTAGTGTTGTTTAATTGTGAATTTAGGTTAGAGATATGTTCATTTATGTTATCAAAGTTATTTTTAATCTCATCATGATTTAAGACAATTGTCATTTGAATCTGTCAGAGCATTGCATATATTTTCTCCTGGAATGTATTTGCTTTGTCTTAAGTCATTGTTCCTGCAGATCTCTGGTCAGTGAGGTGTGGCCAGCCTTTCTCCTGTGAGGTTAGAGTGCTTCCCCTGGATGGAGCGAGATGACTGCCATCATTCCGTGATTATCAGGGCACCTCTCTTTCTTTGTCACCTCTCCAGGGTGACTTTAGACCCATTTAGGTTCCCCTGACAGGGCGAAACTAGCCATGGGGTGTGGAGCTCCACAATCCCTTGGCTGTGTGCTACGGCAAAAACCGGAAATCCCACATTGGACTCTTGTTCTTGTTCATCAGGGAGATAACTGTTATGGGAATAGCCTTCTACAGAATATACTACTGTATAGCTTGTGATCTTTGAAATGAATTCTTCCAAAACAAAAAGATTCTCAACCTAGAACCAACATATTACTTCTTTATGTTTATTTATTTATTTTTGTGTAAAGAGAATCAAACAATTGAAAATAATCTTCTGAAGAATGCATTTTGTCCTATTTGCTTTTCATATTCACAATAATGTATCAGTGATCTTCCTGCTCTATATAACTAACATAAAAAAGACTTTTTAAGAAAAAAAATGAGAAGTCTTTCTCGATGGGACAGATATTCCCTATTACTTGAAATAGCTTAATCAGCACAAAATGAAATGCAACATTAAGAGTTCTGTAGCTGATTAAACATGGACAATTTCTAATTAGTTACAATGTTCATAGATAACCTACAAGCTATTACTTTTTCCAGAAAATGACTCCCTTGCTTTTCTACCTTTCTATCATTGGCTGTTCCTAAATATTTTGCTTTAAATTCTACCATAGCAAATTTATTTTGCAATGTTAGATCAGTACAAAATTTTTTTTGTGGCATGATTAAATTTAGGCCAGTTTGGAATCTTATGGTTATAATTACACTGCAATTCCCAGTGGCAAGTATGATGTCCATAAATAGTGTGCAGAGATGGCTAATGAAAAGCACAGCTTATAACCCTTTTAGAAATAAATGCTACTCAAGAAATCCAGAGATAATTGTTATTACGCAAAACCTGTAGCAGTATTATACTATTAGACTATCTAGCCTAATAATGTATCCATTAGCAGATGGCAGTGTACCAAGTTGAAGTGATGAAGGAGAACTCACTGGCTCATATTTCCTTAAGATGCAGCTGTGGGTAGCTATGGAGACAGTTTGGGGAATGGAAGACTAGTTGCATCAAAATAATCCTAGCCAATTTGATACCTCTAATTGGACATTACTTTAATTATATCAATACAGTGAGCACCATTTGTGCATTTTTTTCTGCTAGTGCCTAATTCATTTTAGAAAATTTTAGAAAAATGCTTCAGTATGTGTTATGAGAACCAGAGTAGGATTTTAAAATGTATTCCCTTCCCTTGTTTATATTGCATTAAACCTTGTCCCCTGGGTTTTTAGGGGATAATCGCTATCGGAATTCTAGGTTCAATGTGCTGTTCCTCCTCTGCCATGCTATGAGTCTGTCTTTTCCAAATGCCTCTTAAGTGGGATAGTACAATTCTTTCCTCAACAAGTATGAAGGTAATAGAAAAGATTGTATTTGCTAAATTTCACTCCTCCTTGCAAAAATAGTCATAATCTCTAGACCAGGGGTAGGCAACCTTGGCTCTTTTATGACTTGTGGACTTCAACTCCCAGAATTCCTGAGCCAGCATGGCTCAGCTTGGAAACCTGTCCCTTTTCCCTCAGCATGGCTGGCTCAGGAATTCTGGGAGTTGAAGTCCACAGTCATAAAAGAGCCAAGGTTGCCTACCCCTGCCCTAAAGGAAACTATTCTTCTCATGAAGTTCTTTTCCTGATGGACAAACATGTCAAGAATTAGACTATAACCCTGTTTCTAGTATAAGCCTCTTTGGAGTCAAAGTGACTGAATTTGCATGCATGTCTTAGACAAGTAGGTAGGTCATGGAAGAAGCTGGGATCCTTGCTAAATTGTTTTCTTCCTTGTCTAGTTGACAACCAACACTGGTGTTCCTGAAGCCCATTTGCATCTGAAGAATATCCCTTCACAACCTATGGCTTGCTTCTTCTCATGCATGGTCCTTCTGCAGGAACTCCAGTGAACATGTTCTAGGTGACGTGTTGGTGACAGGTTCTGGACAAGCTGTTGCAAGTCTCTTTCTCTTGCACGGAACATGTGTGCCTGCAGGACGAGTTTCTGTGCGGTTGAAATGACCTGATCAGTCTTTCATCCGGGGGTATAGAAGAAGGGAAGGTCTTTACAGCTCAAGGATGAGAAGTTAGCCTGATTTGCAAGGAGATCAAAGGGAAAGTCAGGTCAACTTCAGAACTGGAGGATTTGATGAAGCCCGAAGCAAACCCAAAGGAGAGAGGAATTAGTCATGTGGGGCAGGGTGAAAGATGGTGAAAAAAAAAGCTGGTGAACAGCCAGACATGTCTTTAGATGTGTTCAGTTTGGTTAGAGGAGATGTACTTCAATCTACATTGGAGGTGTGATTGGATATTTTTATTTCGAGTGATACATAAGTGGAGGCAGTTGTACCTAGAGCAGTGATGGTGAACCTTTTAGAGACCGAGTGCTCAAACTGCAACTGAAAACCCACTTATTTATTGCCGGGTGCCAGGTAGGCGTGGCCCACTGAGTTGGCGTGGCTGTGGTGGTCATGGCAGACTGGGTGGGTGTGGCCAAGGTAGGTTTGGTCACCTCGATGTTGCTTGTGGGGAGGAACGCCTGTGGGGACTAGGTAGGGTTGGGGGAGATCCAGGGGGTCTCTGGCAAGTGGGATGGTGAGTAGGAGGCTCGTCCTGCGGGGTGAGGCGAGGCAGGGTGGGGGTGCCATTACCTCAGGGCAAGGCAAGGTAGGGGCCGGGGCAGCTGCTGCCTAACACCATCAGCCCTTGCACACAGAGTCCAGCGAGCTCATGGGGGCCAACAATGTCCATCAGCAGCCAAAGCCTGCCAGCCACTCGACCGGCACACTCGGGCTCCACAGCCCATCACGATCAGTTCAGAGAAGTGCCCACAGAGAAGGCTGCGAGTGCCACCTCTGGCACGCGTGCCATAGGTTCGCCACTACTGACCTAGAGGTTTGTGTGGAAGTGTGCTAGGCTGTGGTAAATTGGCACAAACAGCAGGCAAAAGTGCAGC